CCTGGGTGGCCTCCCCGCCCCGCCCCCCCTCGCAGGACTCCCGCAGCGCCCCTCCCTCCCTCGCCGGCCTCGGGAGGAAGAGGCTCCCCCCAGCCCACCACCGAGCCTGCCCGCCCTGCAAGCCCCACCGCCCTGCTGCCCGAGCCTCACTGCCGCGCGGCGGGACTCCATCCGGACTCCGGGCTGACAGCCGCCAGCCCAGCTCCTTCCCTCCGCTCCGGAGAGCCCACGAGGGCCCCCCCCCCGCCGAGCGCAAGAGCCCGCCTTCCACGCCGCCACTCCGGCTGGGAGCCGCGGGGAGAGGCAGGCCGGAACAAGGCCAAAGCCTGCCTCAGCCAGAGTCGCCAGTCTGTCTCCGGAGAAAACCTGCCTCGGAGCCGCTCCTGCCTTAGGAGCCCGGCCACACGGAGCCCGGAGGGCTTGCCTCGAGTCGGTTTTGATACCTCTCAGCAGCAGCAACTGGAGAATGAGAAACTGTCTCAGGTCCAAGTCCATCTCCCTCTTCTTCTTCGCCCAAGGAATTGCGCCGTTGCCCACTCCCGCTCTGTCATTTTTGTCACTCGTTTTCCCCTAGCAGCAGCAACTGGAGAATGAGAAACTGTCTCAGGTCCAAGTCCATCTCCCTCTTCTTCTTCGCCCAAGGAATTGCGCCGTTGCCCACTCCCGCTCTGTCATTTTTGTCACTCGTTTTCCCCTATTGCTTTGGGTTCCCCTCCGCCTCCTTTTGCACATGTGCTTTGCTCCCTCTGGGACTACTAGAGAGAGCAAAACATATTGGGGGGGGGGGGAGAATGACGCATTAGGGACTGTTGGGTGATAGTGAGATATTGAAAAAAGTGGTATTTAGCAGAGATAAGATAGTCCAGCAGAGCCAGGGTGAAATAATTCAGACTGAGAGTCCATGTGTGATTAAAATATAAAGTTTTTACTAAATTCTAGCATGGGAAGGGTAACTGGGATGAAAATAACAACAGAGCTAAATCGGCTACATCCTTACTCTACAAAGACAAAACTAGGAGAGAGAGAGATTATGGTCGCTCTTCTTCTTCTTCAGAACACCAAACAAAGATGGGAAGAGAGCCATAAAATGGTAATACACCTTGACACTTTAGTCCCAATCAAATTCCTAGATCATGGAGAAAATTCCCGGGAATTCTACAGCTAAAGAACATTGGTTACATGAAAAACATGTGACTTCCTGTGAGTAACATAAACAAACATTTAACCCCAGATATACTGAGTGTTTTCTACTTGTAATACCCAACACCCCTTCTCAAGTTATAACAGGAAAGTCATGCAGATCCAAACATTCACGAAGAGTCTCAAAACGTTGCTTGTCAAGCGGCTTGGTCAGGATGTCGGCAATCATCTGATCAGTAGGACAGTATTGGAGTTCAATCAGTCCTTGGTCTTGCAGCTCTTTCACGTAGTGACATTTGAGTGCGATGGTCTTGTTTTTAGACTTGGTGCCTT